GGGGTCCTGGGGGTGTTTTCAGGGGTCCCGACCGTTCCTGGGGGTGTTTTGGGGGGTCCCGAGGGGTCCTGGAGGTGCCTGGAGCTCCCGAGGAACTCCCGCTCCCCACCGTGTCAATCACCCGCCTGTCCCCGCCCACCGATCCCAACCGACCAATCACCGCTCGCCCTCGGGCCGTAGCCCCGCCCCTTTCCCGAACCGGCACGATCGGCTCGGTGGGCGGGGCCTCGCTCGTTCGGCGACCAATCAGCGCCGCGCTCCTTGGCGGGAGCGCGTCACTTCCGGCGGCGGCGCGGGCGGAAGCGGCGGCGGCCCGAGGATGTTTTACCACGTGAGCGGCCACCGGGAGGGTCACGTGGGGCACCGGGAGGGTCACGTGGGGCACCGGGAGTGGGGGGGGGGGGGGGGGGGCTGGTGTCCCCTCAGGGGAGCCCGGGGGTGTTCCCGGCCTTGGGGACCCTCCCGGTTGGGTCCCGGTTGGGTCCCGGTGACTCCCGGTGCCCCCCAGATCTCCCTGGAGCACGAGATCCTCCTCCACCCGCGGTACTTCGGGCCCAACCTGCTCAACACCGTCAAACAGAAGCTCTTCACCGAGGTGGAGGGGACCTGCACCGGGAAGTGAGCGCGGCCCCGAAATCCCCCGGAACGGCCCCAAAAACGGCCCCGGGAACACCGGGAATGGCCCCGGGAACACCGGGATCCATCCCTGAGACAGCCCCGGGAGCCCCAAATCCATCCTGAGACCCCCCAGGACCCCTCCAGGATCCCCCAGACCCCACCCAGGACGCCCAAACCCCCAGTCAGACCCCCTCAAGTCACAGCCAGGACCCCCAAAACCCCCCGAGGACCCCTCAAATCCCCTCAAATCACACCCAGGACCCCTCAGGACCCCCCAACCCCCCCAGGTACGGGTTTGTGATCGCTGTCACCACCATCGATAACATCGGCGCCGGGGTGATCCAGCCGGGACCCCCAAACCCCCTCAAATCACACCCAGGACCCCTCAGGACCCCCCAACCCCCCCAGGTACGGGTTTGTGATCGCTGTCACCACCATCGATAACATCGGCGCCGGGGTGATCCAGCCGGGACCCCCAAACCCCCTCAAATCACACCCAGGACCCCTCAGGACCCCCCAACCCCCCCAGGTACGGGTTTGTGATCGCTGTCACCACCATCGATAACATCGGCGCCGGGGTGATCCAGCCGGGACCCCCAAACCCCCTCAAATCACACCCAGGACCCCTCAGGACCCCCCAACCCCCCCAGGTACGGGTTTGTGATCGCTGTCACCACCATCGATAACATCGGCGCCGGGGTGATCCAGCCGGGACCCCCAAACCCCCTCAAATCACACCCAGGACCCCTCAGGACCCCCCAACCCCCCCAGGTACGGGTTTGTGATCGCTGTCACCACCATCGATAACATCGGCGCCGGGGTGATCCAGCCGGGACCCCCAAACCCCCTCAAATCACACCCAGGACCCCTCAGGACCCCCCAACCCCCCCAGGTACGGGTTTGTGATCGCTGTCACCACCATCGATAACATCGGCGCCGGGGTGATCCAGCCGGGACCCCCAAACCCCCTCAAATCACACCCAGGACCCCTCAGGACCCCCCAACCCCCCCAGGTACGGGTTTGTGATCGCTGTCACCACCATCGATAACATCGGCGCCGGGGTGATCCAGCCGGGACCCCCAAACCCCCTCAAATCACACCCAGGACCCCTCAGGACCCCCCAACCCCCCCAGGTACGGGTTTGTGATCGCTGTCACCACCATCGATAACATCGGCGCCGGGGTGATCCAGCCGGGACCCCCAAACCCCCTCAAATCACACCCAGGACCCCTCAGGACCCCCCAACCCCCCCAGGTACGGGTTTGTGATCGCTGTCACCACCATCGATAACATCGGCGCCGGGGTGATCCAGCCGGGACCCCCAAACCCCCTCAAATCACACCCAGGACCCCTCAGGACCCCCCAACCCCCCCAGGTACGGGTTTGTGATCGCTGTCACCACCATCGATAACATCGGCGCCGGGGTGATCCAGCCGGGACCCCCAAACCCCCTCAAATCACACCCAGGACCCCTCAGGACCCCCCAACCCCCCCAGGTACGGGTTTGTGATCGCTGTCACCACCATCGATAACATCGGCGCCGGGGTGATCCAGCCGGGACCCCCAAACCCCCTCAAATCACACCCAGGACCCCTCAGGACCCCCCAACCCCCCCAGGTACGGGTTTGTGATCGCTGTCACCACCATCGATAACATCGGCGCCGGGGTGATCCAGCCGGGACCCCCAAACCCCCTCAAATCACACCCAGGACCCCTCAGGACCCCCCAACCCCCCCAGGTACGGGTTTGTGATCGCTGTCACCACCATCGATAACATCGGCGCCGGGGTGATCCAGCCGGGCCGGGGGTTCGTGCTGTACCCCGTGCGCTACAAAGCCATCGTGTTCCGACCCTTCAAGGGAGAGGTGGTGGATGCTGTGGTCACCCAGGTCAACAAGGTGGGCTTTGGGGGGGTCCTGGGGGGTCCTGGGGGGTTTGGGGGGG